CAACCAAAGATTAAAGAAAAAAACCAAAACCAAAAACCACAAATTAAAATATATATATAAAATATATAATACTATATATATAATATATATTATTAATATAAAAGTATTAATATAGTATTAATATAAAATATATAAAAGTATTAATATAGTATTAATATAAAATATATAAAAGTATTAATATAGTATTAATATAAAATATATAAAAGCATGAATATAGTATTAATATAAAATATATAATACTATATAATACTACATATATAAAATATATAAAACACCGAGCGTACCTCGGCCTGCAAAGTGGAACGTCTCGTTGAATTCGATTTCATAGAATTTATTAAATTTACGTGGTCGAACCGTTGCTGCAATAGTAATCCTAATCCTAAAATCTGCGATACCTCACAACGACATACAAAAATTAAGCTTGAGTTTGTCAGATTCAAGCGTAAAAGAGAAATCGATCAGAACGTTTGAAATTGTTGGCATGGATAAATATACACGATTTAAATAGTCTGCAATTTTAATAACAATTTCGTAAACGATGTTATCAATCGTCGAGTTAATTGGTGGCACGGTCAGAACCTGTTTGGACGACACCGGTAACGCGGAGAGTCGATTCAAACGGCACGTGCGAATGTATGAATGAAAGTTTACGAGGATAGTAAGAACAGGTCAATCTGCCAATTGACCAATGGTCGGTCGGCCCTGCACGAACAGAAGGTTCGGATCGTTTCTCCCTTCCGTTCGTCTTTGGCTGACTGTGCAAGCGGCAGGGCGAGGCGTGGCGAGGTAATGCGCGAGGCGAAGCGAGGCAAGTTGAGCCGATATAAAGCGAGAGTGGGGCGAAGCGAGGCGAAGGGAGAACGAGGCGAAGCGAGGCGAAGGGAGAGCGAGGCGAAGCGAGATAAAGCGAGAGTGAGGCGAAGCGAGGGCGAGAGGCAAAGCGAGAGCGAGGCGAAGGGGACAAAGCGAGAGTGAGACAAAGCGAGAGTGAGGCGGAGCGAGAGCGAGAGGCAAAGCGAGAGCGAGGCGGAGCGAGAGCGAGACAAAGCGAGAGCGAGGCGAAGCGAGAGCGAGACGAAGCGAGACAAAGCGAGAGTGAGGCGAAGCGAGAGCGAGGCGGAGCGAGAGCGAGACAAAGCGAGAGCGAGGCAAAGCGAGAGCGAGGCAAAGCGAGAGCGAGACAAAGCGAGAGCGAGGCGAAGCGAGAGTGAGAGGCGAAGCGAGAGCGAGGCGAAGCGAGAGCGAGGCGAAGCGAGAGCGAGGCAAAGCGAGGCAAAGCCTCGCCTCGCCTCGTCTTGGCGAGGCTCGCGCGGACGTTTCCAACCGAGTGCCTACCACCACCGCGCCGTAGGGAATTGGTCAAGCAGAGTGCAACAGATAAGGGTGCCGTTGGTGGGGGATAGTTGACTCTGTAGTGGCTATTCGGAGTCAGTTGCTCTTATGCTTGCCAGACATTAACAACAACCACGCCGGGCTATTGCTGCGCGGACCTCGTGACTCGAACGTCACAGGTGATTCGAAGGACTTTCGAATTTTTTCTTCTGTTACCCTGTGCGGACAAAGGACTCGGTGAACGATTTCGCGGCCGACATTACGACCGGCCGAAGAACAAGTGGTGGAACTGGGGCTTTTGTCGATTTTATTCGCGGACATCCGTGGATTATATTTCAGTGACTTGAACACAACGGGAGGCGATCTTATCCCTTTTTTATTTATTTTATCCCTTCTGGATAAAAATGATGGCACGGAGGGTGCGCGGTTGCTGAACGATCGGAATTTGAAAGATCGTTCGGAAGCTTCGAATTGCCGGCACGGAAAAGAAGAGTACAAAGTATATTGAAAATAGTACAAAACAAACTATCCGGAAGAGATTCGAGGAATTGTCGAAGTATTTTTGTACACCGTCTTCGCGCATAGATAGCTCGAGCCTTTCTTAAGAAGCGCCGTCTCCTTGTAATACTTGACGGAAGAAGGCAATCTAAGTCGTCCGACCGTTGATGTGACCGTTTAGTGTGCTATTTTGCCAGTGACTGTGATCCGAGCACGCTGTTTCTCGAGAGGATCCAGCCCGGGGACATCGATCTGCGAAAATGTGGAAGAGAGAGGTCGTGCCCGCGTTCTGAAACTCTTCGAAGCTGCGGTGGTCAATTGGGACTGAAAGAGCAATGACGATCGACAGTTGAATACTTGCCGCGAAAATTCCGTGGACGTGGTGATCGAGGGTTGGTTCCAGGGGGGGTTGTGGATATTATGTTAGCAACGGGACTATGTGTGTTTCTGAAGGTGGTGGCGTTGGCGGGAAGCGTCTCGGCGTTTCTGCCAGAAGTCTTCGAAGATCCTGCCAGTCTGCAAAAGGAATGCGCCTCCAAATGCCCCGATCTCGACTTGAATCAGGTACGTTTTTTTTCTTTTCTTGTTTTTTTTCGAGATAAATCATCGAATTTCCAAACAAGTTCGAATTTACTTAACTTAATATTAATTAACGCACAAACTCTGCTGTCGAAGTTATAATAAAGTCCGAAATGCGCTTTCAAATGCCCCGATCTCGACTTGAATCAGGTACGTTTCTTTTTGTCTTCATTCTATTTTTTTTCCAAACAAGTTCAAACTTACCTAACTTAATATTAATTAACGCACAAACTTTGCTGCCGAAGTTATAATAAAGTCCGAAATGCGCTTTCAAATGCCCCGATCTCGACTTGAATCAGGTACGTTTCTTTTTCGAGATAAATCATCGAATTTCCAAACAAGTTCAAACTTACCTAACTTAATATTAATTAACGCACAAACTTTGCTGCCGAAGTTATAATAAAGTCCGAAATGCGCTTCCAAATGCCCTGATCTCAACTTGAATCAGGTACGTTTCTTTCTCTTCTTCTGTTTTCTTTTTCGAGATAAATCATCGAATTTCCAAACAAGTTTAAATTTACTTAGACGATCGTACAAACTTTGCTGCCGAAGTTATAATAAAGTCCGAAATGCGCTCCCAAATGCCCCGATCTCGACTTGAATCAGGTACGCGTTTCTTTGTCTTCATTCTATTTTTTTTCGAAACAAACCATCGAATTTCCAAACAAGTTCGAATTTACTTAGACGATCGTACAAACTTTGCTGCCGAAGTTACAATAAAGCCCGAATTCGAATACGCGTGAAAGTGTCGTGCCGTTTACTCGCTAGATCCGAACCTTTCGGTTATCTTCGTCTATCGATAGGCTGTTTTTTTCGACGTGTTTTGTAGACAGTCGCGTCTGGTGTACACGAAATTCGCGGGTTATCGGGAAAAAGATGATACCTCGCGAGTCGGACGAATAAGTAAACAATCCCGATTATGCAGCATGCTGCACGCGTCACGAGGAAACTTCTCGTTTCAGAAAACGCCGCCGCAAGATTGCCCTCGAGTTAAAGTTTTGGTGTGCGTCACTTGCGAAAAATGCGCACTGACCAGCGCATAGTATTTAACGGTCGGCGACGCGTTAACACGGTGGCAAATTAGGCGAACAGGGACGGGTGTGTTCAAACGATAATACGAGATCACGAGTGGTACCAGAAATCCAAGGAAATTTTGGATCCGCGATCACGATGCCAAGCGACGTCATTCTACCCTCGTATTATGAAAGTGCCAGCAGATAAAAGTCGGCAAGACCGGATCGCGTGTCCAATAGCTATAAAAAAAGAGCGACACGACGCGAGCCGGTCGCTAAATTGTCCGTGAAATGGGTAACATTTTTGCCGTCGTGTGTTTTCCACGCGCAGCGTCGTGAACTCCGACTCTGTTTACAGCAATAAATAATCGGAACCGTCGGAAAATCAGCTCTTATCGTCCGCGATTTCGCTCGCGAAGAGGTCAATATATTGCCGCGAGAGGTTTCACGTGGACCCGAAACGAAACAGCACAATATATCGACGAGAATCGCGCGGGCCGTTCGATAGCCTCTCCTGCGAGAACCGCCGATTATGCTTTCGTTTGTTGTTTCAATTTGGTTGCCCGGCTATCAGCGTTCCATTTGTCATCCGCGCGACGGCGACATCCACGGTTTCTTGTCGTCGTATTTCGGAGCGAACGCGCACCGCCCGCCGGCCGCGTGTCTTATCCTACGAATTATGTAATTTATTCGTCGGCGGAAGAACGAAAAAACAAAAAGAATGTCTACCGATCCGGTCGGAATCGCGAGAAGCGTACTCGGCAGCCGAGGCAAAGCGTACCACAAAAATGGCTCCACACACGAAGGACGTATCAATTTAAGTCCACTCTCCATCCCGCCTGTACCATTCATTAATTAACTTAACTACACGACGGCGCATCATCGCAGTCCATAAGCATGGTCTCGAGGATGAGCGAAGAGCTGTAACGGATACAGGGACTTCTAATCATTTTTTTTTCTTCTCTTTTGTCTTTTCCGAAATTCCTGTCGCAACGAAACCGAAAAGCTTCTCGCGTCGTCGGCGTGTTCGAGCCGCCCGAAATTAGCTGGCCCAATAATGTGCCCGTTCGGAACCGCTTGAAAGGGTCGTTTAGAAGTTCGCCAATGCTCGCGGTTTTTTTTTCCTCTTGTTCCTTCGGCTCTCACGAACGGTGAATGAAAGAGACTGAAAGGATGCATCAGGAGAGATGAACGGAACAAAAGGCGGTCTGAAGAAATGATTAAACCGATCCTTTCGTGGAGAGTTAAATTGATAATTGGTAGCAATTTCGTTCGCGCCAATTGCCGAACACACTGATTACCAGTTTCTTGCGTCGCGTTTGTTCGCACGGGCCGCGGGAACGTTATTGCCGCGGTTAAATAGAATCCGAGCTTCAAGTTCGTGGCAAGAACGAAAAGAGCATACGACATCGATCGTTTTCAATTTCGAGGAGGAAAACGCTTTATCGGCCGATTGATTATTCAAAGGAGAGAGGTTTCCCTCCGCGTATTTCAATTAACCGCGAGGTCAGATAAAGGGAAGCATGCGCCAGAAATCAACGTCTATACGCGGCTCTTATCTTCCCTTTGAGAACTTTCTTCCATCTTCTGTCTTCGGTTCGTGCTCCACGATTTCGAAATTCCGAAGGCTGACAAAAAGTCTGTCGTGGACAGCTTCGTAAGGCGGCAGCCAGATAACCGAAAATCACGGAGAAGACGGGCGAGAGACGAAGAACCGCCGGCTCGATTTCGAATGCACGACGATGTCGCCGAATAAAAATTTGTGTTTACGGCGCACAAGCGGCGCCATGTTATTTACTAAACACGAGTAACAGTGTAGTCCCCGTTATCGTATCTCGAGGTGATGCCTAGGATGACCTCACTACGCTTGCATAATCGCGATCGCGAGCTTCCTAAACTCAGCTTCGGGGCTGCTACACGAATTCGTCCCTGGCGATGATTTATCGTGCTTTGGCACGAAACGATCTAACGTTCGTTCGACAATCGCTATTGTTACTAGTACGGGGGAAAAAAATGACGAGGCTCGACGCGTTGCCGACTCGTTCACGTGTGCGCGCCGATTAGGCGATTCTCCGGCCGCCTAACGTTTCCGCGCAGTTAGCGGAGGATGGAATTCCTCAATTTCGTGTCGACGCCATTGAGTTTTTCACTTTAATTGAAAAATAATTACTTAAACGCTGCAAGTAATGGATCCCCTCCCACGCGGTTAACCTACATACGATTTCGTTCGCTGGCGGTCGTGCTATCTGGAACAATCCGAAATTCTGGAAAGAAAAAGAATAAGGTCACCGACGGTCTCGCGAAGAACGTGATTCTTATCTGAGGACTGGTTTACGCACGCTTAGAGTTCATAGGGAATCATTTTTACACGTGTCGCGTGACAATTAATCGAAAGTTCTTCGGCAATTGTATCATTTTATATTTATATTTATATTTATCTATATTTATATTTATATTTATATTTATATTTATTTATATTTATATTTATATTTATATTT